CAAAAATGGATTGCCCATGTGCAACGCTATCTTTCATATTTGTGGCCGGATTTTTACCATTTTAACAGAAGTTGCATCTTACAAATGGGAAATGAATGCAAGTGGAAATGCGCTTTATGTAAATCGTTTACGATTACTTTTTAACTTGTTTGTCCTTTACCTCATTCCGTAAAAATCCAATTAGGCACCTATAAGAAATAAGAAAGTAGTAGCTTATACACGTAGCGTGTAATGGAAATTCTGACAACCGATTCAGATTCTTATTTATTTGTTTATTGACGTATCGATAATTCGACGATTAAATGATTGATTCTCCGAAAAAATGTGCCCATTTACCCTACACTGTATTTCTCACCCTTACGGAGATCCCAATGGTGAGACACGAATTTGAACAACCTTGTACTTCATGCCTCATTTTCCTAAAGTTAGAGTCATTACTGTGTAACCAGACAAGTTTTCAAAAATTTGGGGGGGGGGGGGCTAACTTAACATCAAAAGTTACTCTTTTCCTATCATGTTTTTATACTAAATTGTGCTCTTAACGAATGCGCCGTAAAAAGATATCTTTGCGCCAGTCTTGTTTTTAGTTATCTTTAAGTATATATGGTATGGCACGTGATCGCAGCCCCCCCCCCCCCCCCATAACGTATTTTGTGTTGTTGTTACCTATGCCAATCGATACATCCAGTTATGGAACCCAAATACAATTTTACTTATAAAAGTATTATGCTATTGAAATCATATTTGAGTGATCGTGCTCAATATGTGGGTTTTAATTGCTTTGAAATCTCAAATTATGTGTGGAGTGCCGCAGGGTGCAGTTCTCGGTCCGATACTGTTTTTGATTGACATCAATTAAAAGGTTGAAAAATGGCTTATTGACAATAGACTAAAATTAAATGAAAATAAATCGGTAGAATGTGCAGTTTTTTCGAACCACAACTAAAATGAATTTGTAGGATATTTCAATTTTTTAATAAACGAAAAGAAAAATATTGAATACACATCGCCCCCCAAATCGTCCCTCGCTATCTATCCCCCCTCACTCATACCCTAAACCGCTCATCTATCCGATTTCATATGGACACTTCCGGAATCACTTCCGGCTGAACCGGAAATCGATGCAACTTTTGTTTTTCAAATGCATTGCCTGTGTTTTTCAAGATATTTGAAAAGAGGACTCAAGTTCAAAGAACCGCAAATTGTAGGACAAACTAGGACGCTGAATTTTCTAAAAGTTTTCTCGAATTTTCTTCAATTAATACATATTTGTCATCTGCATAATAATAAATTTTTATTAAAACTAGTATTGAAATTGAAAATAAGGTTTCGGAACGTTGGTCCCAATACAGAACCCTGAAGGCACCCTTTACTTATTTCTTTGGTGACCGCTTGAAACTTATTAAGTACTGTAACGTGTAATACGATCTTTTACGTAATTTTTTATTACACTCAATAAATCTGTTTCACAATTCATGCTTTTGACTTCGTACATGATAGCTGGCCACCATATACTATCGAATACCCCTTTAATTACAAATAAATGGTCCGAATGTATTTTTTATCAGAGGATTTAACACGATTAAAAAGTTCTTTAATCGCGTGTTCTGTTGGCCTGGCTAAATAAACTGTTTATTATTTATTTTGTTTTCTTTCTCCAAAAAGTAATTTAGTCTGTCATTAATTAATTTTTCTAAAATATTTCCAGAGCAAAGTAGAAGCATTATAGGTCTGTAATTTGAAGGATCCAAGAAATTTCTATCTGCAGCTTTTTTTGATTATTATTAATTCGTTAATTTTCCTGATTAGAGCAAATCTTAAACGCATTCATTGACGGACCTTCCTAAATTTTTGTTATCAGAAAGAAATAAAAAACTCAAAAAATATGGATCTCAGTTATTTAAATAAATTATAATAACGCACATGAGAATTACGGAACGAAAAATAAAGTAAGGAGTACTTACAGCGCCGTTGGTTGAGCAGAACAATGACTGGATTTTTGTTTATTCTTCTATTGTGAAGTTTAGGTTCTTAGAGTTGAAGTTTGGCAGGACACGTTAGTAAAATTTTTATATTAGCAAGCAGCAAAATTGGAACTTGTTTTCTTCTATTTTCCAGTTCTGTTCACGACGCATTTCCTGATTCCACGAATATTTTTCGTGCGCACTAAGTAAGTACATACAAGGACGGACACAAAACGGCAGGGAAAATCAAAATTGTGAGTAGGTAATAACTGTATCAGGAAATTTTAAATTAAGGGAAAACGTACCTGATATTTATCTATGCAACATTTCCATTTCTTTGGAAAATATCCATGTTTTAAGCATGCATTGTAAATTATTTTTAATTTTTTTCTTACATGCTGTTTTTATATCGATATTACTTTTGTCCCTAACCTGCGGCTTTTTTCTTTCTGTTTAAAGATGCCATTTTGAATTTTGCTATGAGTGAATTTTATAGGATTATTTTGACTTATATTTGGGGTTTCTGAAATAGTTCTTTTTAATATTCAACTGTTAGTTTGTTCAATAATTTGGGATTAAATATTCAGTTAATTTTGTTGCTATTTCAATCCAAGCAGTTGTAATATTACCTTTTTGTGCCAAATTGTTTGTATATCTTTTTTTTCTTTTGAAATTTTATGTATGATACCCCATGGTTAGTCGTTGCTATGTGCGGTTACAAATTCCTTTACATTTTCTTATTTTGCTTTTCTAATCATTGTTACATAGATGTTCCGTTCTTTTTTTATAGTTTTATTTTGCTGTTTCTTTTAATTCTGAATTTTTTTTATGTTTTATGACCCATTACCTACCTTCTTTTCTGTTTTAAACTTGTATTCCACGATCTATTAAATTTTACACTTTGTTTAATTTTAGGTATGATTTTTATTATTAGCTGGTTCTATTTGTTCTTCTTTTTCTAAAATTTCTTGTGTGTTAAAACTTAAATTTTGACAGGCCAGTTTTTCAAAGAGCATCGTTCTTTATCGATTTCTAGTATATTATTTTTATAACTTACTAAATTTATTTGAAAAGTTATGACATTATGATTACTAATAGTTAAATTATTATGACTTTCTATGAATTTATATTTTTCCTTAAATTTTTGGTGATGGCAGTTGCCTTGATCTTTGTTTCCCCAGTTCCTACATACGTATAAGAGTTTCCCGATTTATTAGAGCTTGATTATTATGATATTGTTTTCTGCAAAAATTTTCTCTAGATTTTGACACCTAGTTTCCGTTCTGTGACTATTCCATGTTATAGATTTTGCGTTGGAATCCATTCCTATAATAAATTTGTATTTTGCTCTAGGGGGAAACAAGTACCACTTTGGTGTATTCAAATTCAAATTAATTCACGTTAATTCAAATTAATTCGCGTTAATCAAATTAATTCACGTTAATTCAATTTAATATCAAATTAATTCTCGTTTATTAAAATTAATTGACATTAATTCACTTTAATTCAAATTAATTCAAAGAGGTGTACACCAAAATCTCAAAGTTGTTTCCTCCTAGCTTTTGCTACTTCTTCTTCAAATTTATGGTGACTGTTTTAGAGTGTTATAAATTTAATTGCAAGAATTTTAGTGTTTTACTTTCCCTAATCTTATACTTCCGTTTATCCATATTTAATCCTTTTAGCATATTGGTGCTTGTAATATGGGCAATCGATACTTTTTACACTATGATCCGCTGGTTTACAGAATCTTTTACAATATTAACGCAAGTATGTTCGTCTTCTTTGCAGTTTTTAATATTCGTGACTTTTAATTCCACATTTACCACAAGTGTCAACTTCTTAATTGCAGCGCTTTGAAGTGTGACCAATACCTTGGCACTTGTAGCATCTTTCTATAGACACGAAGTCCTGAATGTTACACCTTTCCCAATATATGTAAATTTTGCCTCGATTTATTAACTTTTCTCTTATTTCTTTATTTGTCTCTAAAAAGTGTGTGTTGTCCGTATTTTTAGGACCAGTTTTAAAGCTTAATTTGATTTGTTCCTCTGAAACAATTTTCTCTAGTTCTGTCTCATCATTAGTTAGATTTTGCTTAATTAGTGCATTAATGATTTCTTCTTTCTATAGATTCGAACATTATAAATGATTAATTTTGGCCTATTTGAGTTTGGAACCCTAGTAATCAACCCCTCGTTTAGTAATGAAATTTGTTATTTGTTCTATGCCTGTTTTTTCCAACGTCTCAATTAGAACACGCTCGTTTCTTGTAGGTATTTCTAATTTTAGTTATTTTCAGGCTTCTTTTAGCCGAATCAATAAGTTTATTTAATTTTTCTCTTATGTCATTACTATTTTTTTCATGTGAGTTAATAGTTACAACGTTATTTTGCTCCCATTCAATGTTTTTGTTTTTATTAGATAATTTTTGTTATGTTTCTCGAAGCAATATTAGTGCGTAGGATGTTGTTTGTATAAAAACTTATACGCTTTATTACTAAATGTTGTTTACGATGTCTCGAAGATATACAGTATTGGTTTTGAGCCGTTTTGAGCTCTTTAAAAAATCGACACTTTTCGGAAAAACTCCAAAAAAATGAAGAAACATTTACTGAAACAACTTTTTTTTATCTGTATAGCCATTTTAAATTCCTTCTATTAGAAGCAAGGCGATTCCTTACGACAAACATGTCAAAACTCGAAAGCGTTGCGCGCATGTGCAGAACTAACTCTCCTATTGGTGGTGCGAACTTTCATTCCACCTCTTTCTAATAAAAGCAAACTAATCGCTTACGTAAAACACGTGGGGAGGGGGAGGGGTAAAATTTCAAATTACATTACTGTAATTAAACGTAAGAGGACCGTTTAAGATGAGGCCCTGCGGGATTTCCCTGGTATCCCGCGTGTCCAGTTCATTTGGTGTTCGGTGTAAAGTTGGAGCTCGTTTTTTTTTAAAATAGCATTTCATACTTGTACACTCATAGTGACAATGATCATCTACAATTTATATTAGAATGGCGTGTCAGAAAATTGGAACACTAACGTACAGAATAATTGATATATGAGACGCTTGAGGACTTAATAGAATACGAATTTATGAAAGTGAGGAAAGCGACAATAATTTTAATAAAAAGTAACTTACAAATAAAACTTTTCGTCCCAAACAGGATTAAGCTCTTGAGGCATTGTGCGTGTGCGTTTCTTTACTTTACCAACTTGAACAGTAACGTAAGGATCGGAAGTCCCGCTTTTATCCTTTGCAATTAATCCTTGTGCACATTTGACTAAAAACAGAAAACAAATAATAAGTAATCGGTTTGCGGCTGTCGCTACGAATAAATGTATGAATTAGGAGAGCACACACGTATAATTTTACGTACCTGACTCTGTATCATTTCTTTTAATTAAAAGTATATCTTACACATGCAAAGGAAGAAAGACATGCATATAGAATTACCATTTTAAAGATCCACACCCCTACGGAAAGATAAAGCATAAAAAGCATAAAAGCGTTATGTTGCAAAGAACTCAAATTGTTGTAAATTAAATGATTCCCTTCTTACATCTAGATAATGATAATAGTATGACAAACATAAATTTAAAAAGTAAGCAAAATGGTTATGTTGGCTTGTTGTGTAGGGGTGTGTATATTTCCATATGTTGTGTAAAGAGTGTGTAAGAATCATTTGCATTCGTGTAAGACAGTGATGAAAATGTGGACATCTAAAAGCTATATACAAGACATAAAGCACGAATTACAGTGTATAGCTTTACGATGTCATAAAGCATTTGTCGTAGGAATGTTTATTGTTATCGTTTTAATAATCATCAACAAAGTAAGCGGGGGAGATATTAAATTGTGCTATTTGAGATTAAGTCGATCTAGCCGCCACCTAGATTTTAACAATCTGAGGCAGGTCTGTAGCTACATTCTATGGGTATGTTGTAGCGCAGTCAAGTAGCACTACTCCGCTTTTTTTTTGTAGGACGTACCACACAAACAAGCTAAGTACACAGCCTTCAACAAACATAAATTGCGTTTTCTCTTTACGTATTTACACCTTTAACAAACTTTACAAGTATGTGCAGTTGACTTTGAGAAAGTGTTAAGTGTAGATCTGTGAAAGGACCACATGCGATTTCTCTCCGGCAAAAGCTGCAGATTTTCCCCATAGGTTGAATGTAAAATATCCAATCTCCTCTGTAACTAGACCTTAACTTAATCTACGGAATGGCAAATTATAATTGCGTTCGCACAAAAATGCAATAAAAGCGATCGTTTCCAATAAAGTTTACGGCATTGTAAAAATATATAATACGACGAACATAAAGGGGATGGATATCCCTGTTTATTGAAAAAAAATGTAAAACTTGTAGCGCCATTCGGAATGTCTAATAAATTCCGATGCCTGCGACTTATACGTATGGACATCAAGCGCTTTTGGGAATCGGAGACATTTGGCCTATTCAAATTTAAACATTACTGTATGTAAGTTACCTTACATCAAGGTAAATTACGAAATGATTTAGGTACCAATATAAAGGCCTAAACTGAATGTTTTTGGCTGAACCGATCACGTGGCTACTTTGCAAAAATTCGTTAATTAAATAAGTTTTCGCATTCTTGCCAGTTTTGCACCGTTATCCATGCGCTTTCCTGGAAAGATCTCAAAAATAGAGAGCTTCCACATTGGGAAAGTGGTAGGTCTTGACGAGACGCACTCGTCGCCAATAGCGAAATTTGCTTGCCCCAGGAAGGTAATCTGTACATCGGTAGCGGTTTCGTCTATCAGCTGGTGAACATTTTGAGTTTCTCATTGGATTTGAATTGTTAACATAGATCCTACTTCCAATATACAGGGTGAAGATTTTCTCTGGAACAATGAATATATCTTCAAAACATGTTTTTTTTAAAGAAGATTTTTACGGTATTCAAAACTATAAAAAGTTTTCTACCAATCTACGTACTTTGTGGCCAGTGACGTACTTCTGCATGGCCAAGGGGGGCTTATTTTAAATGGCTACCACTAGTTTTCATTACATATTTTAACTTTTTTGGATATAGCAGCATCATAATAATAATAATCATATGCGAGAAAAGTTAAGGAAAACGTTTGTGTTAATTAATTTAATAATTTCACTAAGTTGCGTTGAAAAAAATTTATTCTTAGTTATGTGAGAGCAATTTATTGTGTCAACGTTTATAAAAAAATTTAAGTAAATATACATGCTTAATAATTATTTACAGTGGCGTGCGTCTACCGAGGCGTTTACAGAACTAAGAGGGTCACCTTTTTTAACTGAGAGCACTCAGGTACTATTACAGTAAATTAGTAATTAATTAATTAACAAAGCATTTTCATAATTTGAGTTTTTCTTTTAAATTTGATTGTGTAATAGAATAATTTTTTATTCTGCTATATCCAAAAAAGTGTGCTCTTTAAGAGTGTGTAATGAGTAGTGGTTGCTATTTAAAAAAAAGTGTTCCCTGTTGACCATGCAGAAGTACGCCACTGACCACAAATTTTAAAGTACTTAGATTGATACCAAATTGTTTATAATTTTGAATACCATAAAAATCTTTCTTAGAAAAATGTTGCCTTGAAGTAGACCCACCTTGCAGGGGTGCCAAGAATGGGAAAGGGGTGAATCTGTACCCGGGAATGCTACAAGATGTATCTCCCAGGAGAATTTCTTCAAAGATATTGACATCCAAAGGGAGTGGAAGGGAAGAATCGTAGAATCCACCTTAAAGTACCGTGTGACCTATTTTGGTTGAGACTGCGGTGTATCTCAGCTGTTTTTAAAGATAGAGACTTGCGATGTTCGCGACCCTGTACCACTTTTTTTGTGAAACTTTTAATACAAACAGAATTAATTTATCTAATGAGATACAGGGTGAAAATCAAAAGGTACTGTGTGACATACCCATGTAAGGTAGAAAAAAGAGTAGAATCAAGTGGCATAGTAAAAATATATTTTTGAACCACGGTTTCAGAGATTTGACCCAACGCTGGTATTTTTGAAATGCAACACCCTGTATATCTTAATGTTACTTTCTTTGCATCCTTTTTTCTGATTACATTGTTGTATCAGAAGCTATAATATGTTTTGGCCATGAACCAAAAATTTAAAACCTTATTTTTTACGGTTTTTAAATAGTAGGCCATGGAGATTTTGTTTTCATGGAAGCCGATACCAATCAATAAAAATGGCTGACGGTAGAAACATTAAAAATGTTGAAAAATGATATAAAAAATATAGGTTGTGTTGTGATACATCAATGTTATCAGGAAAACGAATGCAAGTAATTGACATTAAGATACACAGGATGTTTCATTTAATAAATACCAACATTGGGTCAAATCTCAGAAACGGCGGCTCAACATTTTTTTTACTATACACCCCTGAATTTGAGGTAAAAATATCTAAAAACCGAAACAATTTTTACGTTTTTTCTATCTTACATGGGTAGCAAGATACGATAACATTTCAAAAAGTCAAACTTTTCATGTTTACCCGGTATCACAGAAACAAGAGTAGCTAGGGTGATTCTGTTTGTGGCATTAAACAAAACAAAAAAGTGGCACAGGGTCGTAAAACCCCAAGTCTAAATTATTAAAAACAGCATATCAGTCTCTATCAAAATAGGACACACAATACAGGGCTCAGAATAATAAAAGTAAACAGAACTTCTGCAAGATAAATATAAGGGCATGTCTGTTATAAAAATCTAAAATGTCATTTATCTACCGTCCACAGCTTTGGAATCTAGATTCCAAAAGTTTATAGCTTTACTACTATAAAAGGTATAAAGAATGGCAAAAGGGAAAAGATTTATACAGGGTGTAATAATTAAGTATTTGTATGTACCAAAACAGGATGGCAAAAGAGAAAAGATTTATACAGGGTGTAATAATTAAGTATTTGTATGTACCAAAACAGGATGGCAAAAGGGAAAAGATTTATACAGGGTGTAATAATTAAGTATTTGTATGTACCAAAACAGGATGGCAAAAGGGAAAAGATTTATACAGGGTGTAATAATTAAGTATTTGTATGTACCAAAACAGGATGGCAAAAGGGAAAAGATTTATACAGGGTGTAATAATTAAGTATTTGTATGTACCAAAACAGGATGGCAAAAGAGAAAAGATTTATACAGGGTGTAATAATTAAGTATTTGTATGTACCAAAACAGGATGGCAAAAGGGAAAAGATTTATACAGGGTGTAATAATTAAGTATTTGTATGTACCAAAACAGGTATTCTTTCCAAATAAATCGTAAAGGGTTTAGAACCCAAAAGCACAAAATCTTGCAGTAGATTTTTGGGTATGCCGTTTCTGATTTTGTATAAATTTTCAAAATTCTTACGCCCACCCGAAGGTGGTGCACTTTCAGACAAAGACAAAGAAATCTGATCTCAACGAAATTTAGTATCTGGGATCAAGAATATTAATAGAAAACGATGCATCAACGAGGGATAATTAACAAAAATTATGCAGTTGAAAATGTTCCTTTTATGTGATAAGAGTGGGAAATCAAAAATTGCTTTTAATAATTTTTCCTTCTTTCTATTCGGGTAATTGTTCATGCAAATATTAGAATATCATAATATTTTGTGTTATATATATTATACAGGGTGTTTAGATCTTCGCCCCTTGGATAATAGGGGCTTCATTCTGCGACAAAACTGAACAGAAAGTCCTATTACATTTTTGCTATCAGACAAATACGAGCTTGGAAGGAAAATGAGACAGAACTGAAGAATTATTTTTGTATTTTATAACTAATAATAAAATTTGATTTCATTTGATAATAGTATAATAATAGCAATTTTGGGAAAATGTAAAAAAAAGCTGTAACGGCGTACCTAAAAGCCTAGACAAATCCATTATTTCTATCGTTCTCTGTATTATGATTTTTGAGAAAAAAATTGAAAATGAAGCGCAATTTTGAGACTTCTTTTAATTTATTCCGCTCCCAAAGGTCTCAACATTTGCTTTTGCTTTTCGCACCATAACACACAAGCTTCTTTGGCCTCATTTTCAGTATTGATTTTCCGATTTTGAAGAAATTACGCCCTTAAACGTACGTGCAGAAAGAGATTCTGATCTCAACGAAATTTATTTGATTTTTTCAACGTGAAAATGAAGAATCCAAAACTATCTTTTGAAAATTCCAACTGTAATTCTTGGCGAGCCAAAAAAATGGTCAGAAATAAAAAATTAAAAAAACCTTTTATCTAAGTAGTGCAGTAGCGGAAGGCATACCCAAAATCCTAAGCATGACTGTTTATTCAAAAATCCTTGTGTTAGGGTTATTGAGAAAAAAAATTAAAGAAAGCGCAAATTTTGAAAGTTTTGTAAGCGTAACCCTAAAACCAAATTTTTGGTCTTTTAGAATATTTGGAAAAAATAAATTCGGTTTTGATCCATTACCATCCAGTTATTTTTTAATTGGAAATAGTCTTTTTCGATATAATAGATTTGAAAATAAGACACTTTTTCCTTTGCAATTGTTTATCTCACATAGTAATGGAACAATCAGCTCTTGAAAATCTTCCGAATTACTAATGCTGTATGTACAAGGCAAATGAGCCACCTTGTACATTTTAAAATATTTTGTATATTTAAAAAAATGATTATTTATGAATTGCTGCGCTCGCACATAGAGCAAATAAATAACAGTTGCTATTTTTTGTGGGCATGGAAACAGCCTTATAATTATTAATTTTTTCAGCGAGATTAATGGATAGTTTTTGTGGTAAATGGAAGCAGAAGCAGTGTTTTTTTCATGCAACGGATTTCTTCAGTGACAATTTCCAAAAGGCACTGAGTTAGAATGCACTTTCGGGTATCCCTTCCCTCGTACTTTTTGAATAATTTCAAAAGTTTTTTTAAAATCAATTAAGAAAAGGGGACAGCTTGATAGATTTTCTTAATGTATTCGGTTTTCTCACTAGTATATAGTTCTATTGTACATTGTCACTGGTAACAACTGCAAAATAGCCAAAATTGATTATTATTTACTATCATTAGACATTTTCCACTATTAAAACGCATATTTACTATATTAATGTAATAGTAGGAAAGCCCAATAGGGCATTTTCCGATGTCCTCGGGCGCGTTATGTTAAAGTAAGGTGGGTTAACTACGTGTTGCAAAGTGTGCATTTCAATGATCTGCCGATTTGAATGGAACGTGAGGGAGTGGGAAAGTCATAAACTTGCTACAAAACTTCACCTTGACATTCAATAGGTCTCTACGACACTAGAGAAATGCATCGCGGGCTCTCCTAACTGGAGTTTTACATTTTGGTACCTAACGTGGTCATTACATAAGGGAATTAGACCCCGTTAAATGAAGAAACAAGACGTGGTTATATGGAAACATGGATTAGGTACTTGTAGATGCAGTCGCAAAATAGCCTTTACTTATCTGTGCCGTAGTAGAGTAAAACCTATGAGGATAATTTATATGAGACGAAGGAACGCTTTTCTGCAGCGAATCACGCGTCTAAATTCGACCAAAATTGCAATATTAAATCTACTCACCCGTACGAATATTAAGTAAAAACTAAAAAAGGAAAGGTCGGCAAATCAAGCTATAGTTACAGAGAGCTTCAGAAAATATAAACTCAAAATATAGTCACAGATTATAGTCATGTCTACCTTGGAAGAGATTAGATTTAAAGAAGTTAAAAGATGCATTCCATTATAGTGGGTGCACAAAAAATGTGAAATCAGTAAAGGCAGTTGGTACTTTAGCGTGTTATGTTATGCCCGAAACCCGTTAGAATGCAGCTGGCAATACCTGTGATAGCAATCTTGCATGACCACTTGGAAGTGCCTTCAATGGTCATTTCTTCCGCTTGCTCGATTGAATCAATGTGTGTATCTGGGTCCACTGAAAATGTTGTTCTGCGCGCCAGCACCGGAAACAAGAACACCGATAACAACAAAATATGAACACAACAAGCACGGGGATATCTCTGCACTATATCTCACCTTTAACTAATTGGTTACTACTAAACCCTCGCGCTGCATAATTTAATTGCGCGAGGATATGTCCAATTAGTTTCAAAGGCAAAGCAAGTTAGGTGATGGATCCATAATATAGTAGCAGCGTCACATTCAACATTCTTTGAGTGGAACAATTAAGTTAATGCGGTCTTAACTTGATTGATCGTACACTGTTATATGTATAATTATGTACAGTTAGTAAAAATAACAGCGTATAGGGTTACAATGAGGACACCAATCGTACGTAGTCCCGACAAACCTGTAATTGCTATTTTAGCTGACCACTTCGACGTGCCATCCAATACCGACTGTTTCACGGCTTTCATGTGACCCGAATGACTTTTGTCTTCTACGCCAAAGACGTCCCTGTATAGTTTAACAATATGTAATATTTGTCAAAAAGGTTTACATTAATACTGAAAAAGAACAGATTATTACAGTGCGTCCCAAATATATACATCATCATCGCCCAGCCATACAGATTAGTCCGTAATTTAATCGGGATTCTATTAACCTTTTATAATGGCGTACAACCTCGTAAAGGAAAAATGTTGATATATAATGGGAGCATTTGCTGAAAAACAATCTGAAAAATTTGCGAATTTATCACAAACCCTCGGAGCTCCTTTTAGTAAAACAACCAACCTTTTCGCTATAACAAAGTATTTTCGAATTCTTTGTGTTGTACAAATCCAAATACTGTGATGCAATTGCTACGTGGTTAGTTAAATCGCTAAGAGGTAATTTATTTTGTCATTGTTCACGCCTCTTACGCAAACATTTTTTGTAAAAGTTTTCCATTTACGTTTCTCTGCTACCGTGAAAAACGCGAGGTAATTTAATTAGAATTCTTTCAAAGTAGATGAACGGTTTCCATGTCATTTAAATAAAACAATCCAGAAATTTTCATCAGGACATTTAAAGAGATTGAAAAGTTGCAAGTTGCTAATTTCGCAATTTTTATGCTGCGGTTTCTGCAGGAATAATAAATTAAACCCTAACGTGCACAAAATAATATCACGACCTGTTCAGTTTCGTGCCCTAGACACTTAATTTTTTTATGGAAAATGTAGACGACACCGCTGATATCAGACAGATAAACTGAAATCAATACCTTTCTTTTAGATACACGCATTTTTTATCTTTACGACTGTTGGGCGACTTTCGGCATAAAATCGGAAATTTGATGTACTCCATCGAAATTTAGTATGAAAGTAAACGTGACCTTCTGGGTCCATCAGATTTGATCGCAGTCTTTAATCGATTTTCAATTGTAAATTTCGTATTTTATGTTCGTGTGATGGCTCTCGGTAACCGAAAGATTGGTGGAAATTTACATTTTCTACCTCGAAGTGAACGGAGCTCATTTTCCATTCGGAGTTATTGGTGATTACACAAAAGAAATCAATTGTAATTAGATAATGCAGTTGATTATTCAATTTATCCGTCCTGTGATAAGTAATATACACTTCACATTCTGAAATGTACAGGGTGGGTCAAATTCCGTAACTAGAGCGGTTATTTGACGCAAATTTTTGTGTGATCTTTTTCAGTGAAATATGCAGAAGGATAATTTCCAAGTTTAAAAGAAGTCATGGTTTCAGTAATATACCACCAAACAAATACTCCTTATGGTACATACAAGTTTGTATTTCGGCGTTCAGCGAGCTTTAATTGTCGTATGCGTCGTAGTCACGTCTTTGTTTTAAATTGTATTTGACGGAAAATTGTTTCGTTTTACACGATAAAAAGAGGTCATATAATGTTACATTTCTGACACTGCGAATTAAGCTATCTCCGCCATTACTACTCCACCGTAAAATAGGTATTTTAAGTCAACTTAGTATAGAGACAAGGGATGAGCTTTGCACTAAATTAGGGATTCGCGTTTGAGCCGTAGCGCTAGTTGAAATTCGGGTTTGAGTCGTCAACCAGAGAGAGTTTCGTTTTGGCATCCAAAGAGTCAATACGAGGGTCAGTCAGTCAGCGTTTAGTATAGCGGCTTTTAGAGCCTAAATAATTCAATTTAGCGCTCGGGCTTAAAAAAAGAAGTTAACCTAATTCAAAGCGACGTTTAGTGTCCATTACATTCCGTAGCCATTTATCATTTATCTCAGTGGGGAAAGTTATGCGAAAAAGTAAAGTCCGTTTTAATTTTCGCTACCCTAAGTGAAATTTGCGTGCGCACATCAGTTTGTCAAGAAAAGTTCACCCAGGTTTAAAAGAATACAAAATTACGCCCAAGGAATCTTTACACGTTCTCGTATAGAAGTTAAAAAAACCGCTTAATCGTGTCGTAATTTAGTTAAATAAAGACCATGTCCGTATTTATAAACAAAGTGCTATTCAGCAAATTCCACAAAGAAAGTTAATATCTCGTCTAAAACGAAATTGCGACAAAGAAAACTGTTCGTAACTTTAAATAGCAAATAAAATTGTTATTGATATTGTTATAAATAGCAAATTCCACAAAGAAAGTTAATATCTCGTCTAAAACGAAATTACGACAAAGAAAACTGTTCGTAACTTTAAATAAATTTCATGGTCACTTTGTGCCGCTACAGTGAAGTGCAAAACAGTGAAAATGTTTACTAGAGGGACTTTCTAATTTGAAATACAATTCAAAGGAGATGCACTCTTAAACGTTTTCGATATTTTCCGTGTTTCTTTTTATCATTGTACCGTCATTTATTATTTCCGTTGTTTCTTTTTATCATTGTACCGTCATTTATTATTTCCGTTGTTGGCATTGTGCTGGACAGTACGAAATTCAAAGACTCCGTTTGTAGTAACTCTTTCAGCTAAAGGAGATCTCTTAAGCAAACCGAGAAAGTAGAAAGGTAAAGTAAATAGAGAACCGACAGAGCTAGTTGTCGGCATAATGAACTATTTTCCTATATTTTTTATGATAGAGTTTTCTGGTTGCAATTTCATCTTCAATAAAAAGCAAGGCAAATTGTCAATCAGTAAATTGCAGCAGAACTTGGTAGCTCCGTAACGGTGAAAGATACCGTTTACGTTAAATGGGGGCAGAGTTGTCCCTTTTTGTGACTAAAAATGCTTTTGAAAACTCCCATTTAGCATACACTGAATCTCTCACCGATAGGTAGATCCTAATGGTGCGCCATGAATTTGAAACACCCTGTACAGGTGTGTCCAAAATAGCAAACTCCTTATTCAGGTTACTACTAACGCTTTAAAGAATTCATGTGCAAACTGGATGTAATTTTCACTTCTTTTTCCTCAAAAGTGTTTGGAGCGCTTACAAGTTACATACCATTAGTTACAGCTGAAAGGCAAATATTGGATAATGATTGGAAAGTAAATATTTGGAGTAAATAATTCGAATACTCTCAGTTTTTTAAACTGAATAGCGATTTTACACAGTCGAGCTGGCGTTAGAATAAACTTAGAAGCAAAAATAAAAAGAATAAATTTCGCAATGATTCCTCAGTGGCCCTACAAGAACCTTCAATTTCTTTTTAGTTTATTACTAAGAAATTGGAAGTGAAGATAATTTCTCTATATTTCAAAGTAGGTATCTCTCTGGGGATTATGCAAAGATTGTTAGAACGTTTATTTATTCTTGAACGATTCTTTACAGAATCTGTTTAGTTTAGAACATACTCGCTTTCCTGCTGGTGGCGCAAGTTGTTCATTTAAAACAGATTAAGGAAATATAATCTTCAAGAATAACAAGGAAATGCTAATAGTGATATAAATAGCATCTAAACGCTTACAATAAATATTATCAGTTAACCATCTTACAATTGTTGGTGACGTACCGGGTTTGAGATATACGTAAAAGCAAAAATAAAAAGAATAAATTTCGCAATGATTTCTCAGTGGCCCTTCAAGAACCTTCAATTTCTCCCTGACCGAATTTTATCTCGTGTAAGATTTTCTTGGGTCAGGATTAAGATTTACAGTCCTAGCGCTACAATGAGATTCGAAACCTTTTCAAAGATTATTCTCAAAAGTCTCAACTATGAACCCTGAAAAATCGCTCAAATTTTGAAGAATTTACGTTCAGAATGCTGGAAGACCTTTTGGCATCAATGATAATATGAGTAAAACTTAACAAGTCTCTGAGACCTTTGATAAAGGATTTTTGAATAATACCTAATTTTTGAAGAACACAATAAATACACAAAGAATTTTTAGTGAACACTTTTTAAAGGATGAATCCTTAGCGACTCACTCAAAGTGTCTAAAAATCTCTAAAAACTGCACGAAGTACCTTAAATTCTCAAAAATCTCTGATGAACTTCTGAGCAATGTTTGAAAAAGTTAATAGAATCTTTCACTCAAGGATAAACATTGAAGTGTATTAGTACTTTCTTTTAGTTTTCTTGTATTTTTAAGACAGTCGATCTAAATTTTTATTCTTCTTCAATATTCGAAAACGGAACTCTCTTAGTCAGGGTACTTAATCCACTAGCACATATTGGTCTGCGTGAAGATTATCGGCAAAGTCGATCATAAATCCCCGAAAAATACTATCAGCTTTTTTAAAGCCTCCTGTAATCTAAATAAATTGCAGAAATGCTGAAAACTACTTTCATGAGTTAATAGGGATACATGTAGGTATACCCGCAAAAATCTTTTGAACCTCTGAGAAATAATTTTTGAAGAAACCTTGAAAAAACCTTTGGGGATATTAATGTCTGAAATTGCTTGCAGAAGTTACGGCATAAAAATCATTTTTCCACAAATGTACCTATTCCACTATTCTTCTACAAAATTTCCATGCCCGAACATTAAACTTTCTTTGCCGGATTCGGCATCCAAATCACTAGACGAAGTTGACCAGCAAATCAATCTGCATTCTTTCTAGAGAATATCTCTTAAATTGATCATACAATTTTCGGAAAACACCCTACCAGGATCTCTTAAAGAGTCCAGCCTTGACGGAAAATTGTGCACAACTGTTCGAAGATCTCCATTGCATTTATGAATCAAAGGAAAAATGTAGAGATCCATGGAGACTCATGAATCTCTGAAACTTATACTTAAAATACATTTGAATCTTTAAAAAATTCGTGGAGTTCTAAAAAAGTTCAAGAATGCCTAAAATTATTACCAGAGGTTGTCTAAAAATCAATTTTTAAAATCTCCGAAAATTCCCAGAAAGTTTTGTAATTCCCAAATATCATATTGTCACATTGTAATTTTAGTTTTAAGGTACATTATTTAAGAGCCACGAAATTTAGCGCGCCTGACTATTTTTTCGTAGTTAATTTGGAATCGGTTTTCAGGTAACCCCGTTTTGGATATGATATACAGTGTGTGTACATACGTTCGCGGCATATGGGTAAACTTTTTTATTATTAGGATTACGAAAAAAATCATAAAACGTTCTGTATGGTTTGAAACCTAAAATTAAACCATCAGATATCAAATTTATTCGATCATGTGGCATCATCAAAATATTGAGAACTTTAAATTTTGGATAATAACAAAAGAGTTAACTGTGAAGATTAGTTTACAATTTTAAATTTTTAACAAATATCGATATTAATAACAAATAAAGGTATTGTACTTTGTTGAATTTTCTCGAAAGCACCTAGGATATTCTCAAAACCGCTAGAAAGTCCTAGGAGGTTTTTTCAAGGCCTTGGAAAGAACTTTTGGAACGCATTTAAAAGGTATTCTAGCGCTTTTTAGAGTCTTTTATGTGATGCCAAGGTTTTTCTGTACAGATTTCAAAAAGAGAGGATGAAATGGTCTAGAATTAGTTGTAACTTTTTGCAATCAGTCCGTATCAAAATGCTGTTTTCGACAGTACCTATTCAGAAAAATACAAACAAAAATTTTGTACAAGATTGGTTGAGCCATTTTTGAAAATTGCTTAAGGGGTCAAAAAGCATTTATTATTGCATTAAAATTATGAACATCATGAACAGCCGGAAAAACGACTTACAAATCGTTACTAAGGGTTTTTCGTGACGTATAGTACATATCTGCTCTTGAAAATGACCGGGGTGCAGTGGAGTGAAAACCTAACCCTGTCTAGAAATTGCCCTCAAATTGTTACTCGGTCGCTGAGTTCAGATGTTCCCCCGAAGTTGCCCGGAGTTGCACAGGGGGGTGACACAGGAGGTACAATGGGGTTGTAACGAAGCGCCTTGAAGTTTTATACCCGAAGTTATGACCACATCGTATATTTGTAGAGTCGGCCAGCTTTGTTGAACACCGGGTAGCTAGAAACGTTTTCAGCTGGGCGCTTCGTCACCAAAAGTGTCGTGCTGAGAGTATCTAATGTTTCTAGGTTCTAAAGGTAATTAAAGTTAATTCCTAGAGTTGTGTCTCAGCCACCACTACCGCAAATAATGCAGTTTGTAACCGTTCCCGTCAAGATTAAATTGCCTGTGTTGCGTCCGAAAGCTCTTGTCATTTAGAAGAAAAGGGCAATTGATATTTTAAAGCCACGTTAAGCCATTATTAGCAGGTATAGTAAATTAAAACTGCACGCCGTTATCAGGTTGATTAACAATAGGATTTTAGAATATCCAATCCGGCCAATTAAGTAAGGGTAATTAACAGTAGTTCAGTAAATGTGTTGGAGTAAACGTCATGTCACATAGTCGTGTGGGGTATCAAATGAAGCGCTCTTAATTGATTTGAATTTTGGGACCACTTTCAGATTTTTAGGACGTCACCACAAATAATTAAAAAAGTTGTAATTTGTGTATGTAGGTAACCGAATACTTTGTGTCCGCTGGAAAACCGTCGTTCTCTCCATGGCCTAAGCCAAAATTTATAAAAAGCAAACCCAACTCCTTTAAGACTAATTTCGCAGTTTTGAATGCTTTATTAGAGCTTTATAGGCCAGCCCGTGTGGCATAGTTCAGTTGAAGCTCAACTGTGATACTAAGGGCCCCTGATTCGAATCCGTGTTCGGGCATGGCGGTAAATAAATAAGTAAAACGCCAATATAGTTTTAATTGCTTTAAAACGAACTTAGTCAACGTTCAGAGTAATATAAGGGGTTTTTCCCGTCCCCTTCCATACCTGTTAGGGTTGACTAGTTCAGGAATGAGTTGTATGAGTTTTCAGAACACTTCTGTCATACTATTTAATAAATTACCTTTAAGTATAAGAAAATTATCAATCATAAGCCTCAGAAAAATTCTTAAATGTGTATTAATTAAACATGCCTTTTATAGCATAACAGAATTTGAAAATTTAGATTTCAAAAATATTGTATATGTGTGACTTCTGCAAATGTATATTTTTTGTTACAAGTGTGCAGTAATAACTATTATTAATGAACCCAAAAAGCTCTGGAATAAACTTAAAACGCTCTGGACAAGATCTATTGAGTTGTGTGGAAAGCGACTACACTGTTGTGGAAAGTCACAAGGGCACACTGAAAACTAATTACAACACTCTGGAAAGATGGGGATGAAAGTATTGAATTGGTTTTACAGATTCTAAGAAAACAAGCTAAATTCTCTGCCCGGGGCACTTTGGTGCATGGTGCTCTTGTTTCTAAAAATTACTGAAATGGTCGTAGAGATGGAAACAAAATCTGAAAAATGTTTGGCCAGTGCCCTTTTTCAAATCCAAAAGTATGCAATTGATAATGGACAAGTTTATTGACGTTGATAGTGCAATATTTAACCTAACGACATTCAAATATAGAACAAAACGAATAAACTACTAAAAACATCTAAAAATCTGTCAATAAATGACAATAAATGACGTCATTTGACCTAATTCAATGGCGCACCAATAATTCACAGTCCAGGTTCTAAGCGAATGAATAGGCATCGTATGGGAATAGGTCAAGTGACGTCACACGCTGAAATGCCATTATTTTTCCAATCGCAACTTTAAAATCTTGTAACGTTTTTATTTGTGGAGGTATTTTAATATTTTACTTAAATTTTCATAATAAATTTACAATAAAATACTGGAAGCTTCTTCATTGTGTTTACAAATTCAAAAATTTGAGAAACAATTTTTATAAAGCGTAACTATTGAATTGATTTTACCGAGTCAAAGTAAATCTGAAAATCCTTTGGGCGAGTGCCGTTTTTGCAAGATAAAATATTGAATTATTTTAATAGATGCAAACAAATCTGAAAAATTGGGTGTGTTTTTTTGCAAAGCTAAAATATTTGTTGCACTGTGTACTTTTTCCTAATGCCCAAGTACAGAAAATCTGAGAAGCTTTCATCCGTAGTACTTATAGCCAATTGGTTTCATGGAAAATCCAAAAATTATACGTTCACTATTCAACAGTTAACTTTGATTAACTTCCGTAATTTTCTCGAATGTAAACTACTCATCCATAAATGTTTGAAACTTGTTAATTTACTCGACAACGTGCATTATTTAAAAGCACGCTGCATGAATAGAAAATGTCGCAATTTAGCCTTATTTATTTATTATTTTCCCCCTTTTAGCTTAGTCATCGCTTTTAAATATATTAACGGTTCGGTAATTTTGTGCCTTTCGTTGTCAGTTTTGGGTGAATGTAAATGCAAAATAAAGTACCTCCGCCAGCGAGATTGTAATTTATTCCTCATACAAAATTAAGAAGTTTTAATTGTTCTCTTTGTTGCACGTTTAACTATATTTGTTCATTATTTATCAGTCTGTAGCATGCAATTTGTTCTTTTGTAAGCATTTTTGCATGTCGCCGATGAATTAGTGACAAGTGTCGCCGCGGTGCAAAAATTGTGAAGGCAAAGCAACACGAAATATAAACGACCGGGGGTCGATAAATAATAAATGCAAAGTCATTTTGAGGGAAAGCTCTTCTTGTATGACTTGGACTGTAGACGAGAAAACGTAAATGGAAAACTTTCACTCGACACGACGCTAGGTACCCTTAACCCCTTTGGCGTGAAAGAATTGAACAACCATAGGAAATATATGGTTTTAGTCGTAAATATGGCAGTAACACGCTACTACGATACCTGATAAGCTCAAATATTTCCGGCTTCTCTCTCTCCCGCTGCTTCATTCGCTCCTTCATTGCTGTTATTATGCTATTGGCTTTGTCTTCCGCTCCATGTTTCGAACTTTTTTCAGCGGCTCCTAAAATCAAAAGAAAAATCGTTTGCATTAATGTTTTCACGAGTGGGAAACGTTTTGGCGCAATGGAAATGAGCTATTGTCTGAACGTCTGCCTCAACTTCCCTACTGCCACGGATAATCTAACATGGGGTGTGTTTGTTGTCTGTGCTACTGATTAGTAGAATTCGAATACTACCATTTCTTATAGGAAATTGTGTCCAACAGTTTTTCGTTTGCCCATGACAGCTGAGGTTTCATCCTCGGTTTCATCTTTTGTTGCAATGTAACAGACAAAGTGACTATGTTGAGAACAGAAAAATGTACGGTGAATAAAACGTTTCATGATTAGTTTAATTTCATTTCCAGAGATAAAAATGCAATTCCGTTGCAGCAAATTAGCGTTCTCTCACATTGTCAGAAATGTAGGTACACTCACAAAAGTAATAGGAAACTTCCACATTAGCGTAATAAGTTCTTAAACAGCGCGGCGCAAATTTAAATTAGAGATTTAATGCCCCACACAAAATGGGCGAAAGTTGTTGCGGTGTTCCCTTTGCCAGAATTTAAAGTAGGTAGTAGTAATAATTTATGGATTTAAATTGGATACGAACTCTCATAAATTACCTTTAAGCGCGTATAGAAATTCACAATTAATTCAAAAAGTGGAATCAATCAATTTCGGGGATTACAAGCCTAATTTATAAATTTATTACACTCGAAAACGATTTATAACATGAACGCTTTTTTGGGGGGTGCACATGTATATATGTCATAAAAATTTGGGATGCTATTGTTGAGAAGACCTTTAGTTGTGGTTTGTCAGATTTAAAGCGTGATTGATGAGGCCATTACGTGTCAAATTAGATTGAGTTTGAGAATTTGTAATCGTTTTGGTAAATTTTTTGTGATAAATTGGTTGTATGTAGTCTATCAAGTGATTAAAGTGTTACTATTTTTAAAATGAGAGCTGTTGGGTGATGGGCGTGTTCTGTAACCCTTCGGTTTTTTGGCGTTCAATACTTAATTGAATACGAAAAGCACTGCGGTTAATAATTAGCTTAGCAAAAAAATTGTTTCTTCTATTTTAAACTTTACAGTGCAGACTTTAGCCGCGGGTAGATGCTTTGTAAGGGTGGAGAAAATTTTACGGATAAACTCTTTTGTAACTTCCAAAGAAAAATATGTCGTTAAACAACTGAAACAAAACGATTGGAAACTATATGTTCTAGAGGCTCTAAAAGAAAATTACAAAAAGGTCAAGGGTATCGCAGAGACGAAAAGAATCCAAATTAAGAAAAATTACACTGAAACCAAAAAGAACATAACAGTTAGGACACATAACTACTAAAAATATGGAAACAAGTCAGACCCTATAATGAAACTAGTTGTCAGGTAAACTCATGATTTGACTTTCCGCCTACTTTTAATACTCATTGCAAGTCTCTTTGGTCATAGAGACATTTAGAAAATGCCCTCTAGCGCCTTTATTTTGAACCCAACGCAAAAAGTGTAAAAGCCTTTTTTGTAGATCTCATCAAGACACATCTTTTTTTTGTAATTAACATTTTCCACTCTGATGCTTACTCTTAGAGAAAAATGCAAATTTAGAAAAATAAAAAAAAGCTTAACTTTTCAATTCAAAAATCTCAAAAACAAAGGAACTCACAAAAAAATTGCAATGAACTTTTTTGTTTGTTTGTTTTCTATGCCATTTTGGCCAATGTATGCGAAAAAAGTTAAAAAAAAATTTTTCAAGGCGTTATGGCTCTTTTAAACTTTTGTCACCCTCAACAACCATGAAGATGCTTACGGATCAAAACCAAAATAGGACGTTTTCGATTCCCCATACCACCCTATATGCACCCCAAATTTCGTCCAAATTGGTTCAGGGTTTTTTTAGATATCGTGTTCACAAAAAACGAACCACATACACACACCCACACAAGACGTCATGCTAAAAATCACTTTTACCCAAAATCGTCATGATACCTTCATTTTCATGCCTACTTTCTTTCCATGACAGAGGCAGAGCAGACTACGTTTCCTGCCGCTTGTCACTTTACTGGCCGCACCTGTCACTTTACCGGCCGCACCGTCACTTTACCGGCCGCATTTTTGACATTTCCAAAAGTCTATAGTGGCCCCTGTCATCACTGACAGATTGACATTAATCAAACGTTCTATATAAAAAAAATTTTGTTGAAATTTTGTATTAAAAGACAATTTCGGGTAAAATTTAATACAAAACTCATCAGTAAAATGTCATTACCTGGCTCGGACATTAAAGTACTCGGCCCTAAAGGGGCCTCGCACTTCAATATTTCCTCGCCAGTAATGTCTCATTTTCCTGACTATTCCCCAAAATCGTCATGAAACCTTCATTTTCATGCGTACTTTCTGTCGCGAAATTTTAGTTTCCATGACAGAGGCAGAGCATACTACGTTTCCTGCAACTTGTCACTTTTCTGGCTGCAGCTGTCACTTTTCTGGCCGCAGCTGTCACTTTACCGGCCGCATCGTCACTTTGCCGGCCGCACTTGTGACATTGCAATGTCTATAATGACTCCTGTCATCACTGACAGATTGACATTAATCAACAGTTCTATATAAAAATTGAAATTTTATATTAAAATCCGATTTCGGGTAAAATTTAATACAAAGCTCGTCACTAAAATGACATTACTTGACTCGGAAATTAAAAAGGGGCCTCGTCCTTCAATATCTCCTCACCAGTAATGTATCAGTGCTTCAAAACGTCCAGAAAACGCAATATTGGCATATTGAAAATGTATCACGATTACAATACTTTCGTTTATACATACTTCGTATGTAGTCGGTAGTCGGAAAGTAAAAAGGAAAAACTCAGGAGCTACTGGAGTTGAAGCATGTTGAGTTTAAAAACACTATACCAAAAATACTTTATGTGACTGCAACTATGAAGAACCTTCAGTTTTAGTTTAAAAATATCAGTAAATATTTAATATTCATTTTGGTGTTTTATTTTTTGAGTTTTAAATGTTCTAATTAAAAAAGATGTTTTTTTAAAATTTCTAGCAAATGAAAGCGGATCTCGCCCCCCCTCCCCCCTGTTATTTCTCTTTGTTCCCCACTGTGGAGGAGGCAAACAAAAATGGCTAAGAAGCCTAAAGAACATCCGTATAAGTGAATTTAAAAATGTTTTGATAAATGGAAGGATCGTTTGAAGAAGAGCGTTGTAGTCAATGGAGAATACTTTGAATGTGATCAAAATTTGGTGTAAAAATATTAGGAAATAATGAAGTTATATCGTGGATTTTGCCCCCCCCCCCTATAAGTGCATAATATGTTTCAATTTTTCAAATACATTTCAATAATATTTTCAAATTGGATTTTGCCCCCCCCCCCCCCTATATGTTTCAATTTTTCAAATACATTTCAATAATATTTTCAAAATTGTAGACTCCTACAATACAAAGTCGCCATCTCTTCCCCTCTCCTACTACATATTTTTGTAAGCACGCATTTGGGTTTTTAGCGCATTTTTTAAGAATTAAAAAATGTGCTATTTTTTCGTTTTGTTCTTCCGGATCCACTTCTGCCGTTTCGAACTACTTCTAGGGGAATGGTCCTAGAGTCCTGGAATTTTTTTGCATTAGATAGTGTATACCTTGCAGGTGTGCCAGACGGCCATTAAATTTCGCTGTCGAAAAGCCCCCCCCCCCCCCCCCACGAATTATTTCCTGAGCTGCTGTTTTTGAAAGTAACACCTGCATAACTTTTACATACGACAACCGTCTCAGATTTTGCATGCCGTTAGTGGTGCCAAGTTAAACTTTAGAAAATGGAGGGGGGGGGGGTAAACACATGTTCTACCCTTCATGATATTGTAATGAAAGGTCTCATCGAAATAAATTGGTTTGCTATAACTTTCCCGTGCGACTCTTTTTCGAGATCAGTGAGCGACGGGACCTGAGGAGGGGGGGAGGGGGTAAAAATTAATGTTATCTCATTGTATTCTAATTAAAGGTCGTCCGCAAAAAATATATCCATTGGTGATGTCAAAACAAAACCTATTTCGGTTAAAAAAATGCGCTTTATCTGCACAAGAGTTGTGCACAATTTATACTTGTTTTTACCTATAATTATAAATTCCGTAGGTATATTTACTTTAAATTTTGGATCGATTCGTGACATACAGGTCATTCGTCTTTAACGCCCAGGTTTTCCTATTTTCCTTTTCTTTAAATAACAAGATAAGTATTGAACCGAGAGGCTTCGTTCTGAGCTTAAATTGAAGCTTCATAATTTACTATAACCTTATTCCCCTATAACTTTCCCTGTAGGATCCCTCCTTCGGCCGATATTCCCCACGAAAGTCGACCAAAACTTAAAATTTGCACTTTTTGCAAAAATGACCCTTCTCCGTAGAAGCCTAACTCAGAATCTATCACCCCTACAGAACTGCGCCGCGATTTATATCAAATTTAATATTTAAAATTTAATATTTCATAAGTTCACAAAAAATCTGTTGAAAGCATTTGATATTAACTGGGGATTTGTGCACGTTTGTGTCTGTGGCAACAGATTTTCATTACCCAAACAACCCAAATCTTCTCGCTAAACCGCTTGTGCTCTTTTGCTAAATTTCAACGATGTCGTTAAGTAGCGTGTAAGTAAGATCAGATGGGTGAGTTACCTGCAAGTTTAGTTTTGCGTTGGGACGGTGGGTTTAACCTAATTTGTAACAAAATCGTCCATTTACAAGTGATAAAATTTACGCGAAGGAATATTTTCCAGTATGAGTGCTTTTAACATCAAACCGAGAGTAAATACACTGATATTACTGCTAACAATTGTGGCTGGTTAAATAAGTTTCACAAAGTTGAATGACGTGATTGGACACGGCATATGGCAGGGAATTTAAAGACAATTAATGCGGCCTGTTTCCATATTTCTAATGGGTGCAGCATTTTCCGCGGGGAGATATTACCAACTGTAACCTAAAAGGAAAGTCAACCAACGTGTAACTTATTTTACAATTTTTGATTTGTGTAAAGTAGTGGTCGATTATTTTTAGGAATTGGTGTAAATAATTTTGTTTGAAATAATTTTAATATTCCTAAAGAAATCGACTTATGAGAACCATTTGCATGAACAGATTTTGTATTGTATATATTGATAACAATCGAATCCTAACAAAGGATTTAGGTCATTTTCTAGAAATGTGCAAAGAATTTGTGGAGAATCTTTAAGTTATTTTTAAAACATCTTTGAAAAATGTTTGATAAATATCTGAACATTCCCACAAGCAGCTCTGCAGCTCGTCTTTAGTTAGTGCCTCTGAATGTCCTTTTAATGAATCTATATGTACTTAGAAAATTGAGAATGAAGAATACCAAAGAACTTATGGAGAATCTGTGGAAAATCTTTAAAAATCGCCCAAGAAGATCTTCTCTAGAGGGTATTTAGAAACATTTTTCTTCTATTAATCTCCGAAGAACTTCTGAAATGCTCCTGAAGAATTTTTCAAAAATCAATGTACATAGCTACAGAATTCCTAAATGTTGAAGTTTTATACTTTGTTTAATATCTAGTGACATTCCTTCCTTTCCACATTAATGTTATTGTTGATGCAAATTTTCTCCAATCTTTAAATAAATTTTTTAAGCTTTGAGTAGGTCAAAAAATTGACTGGTGGAATTGACTACGATGTAACAGCCTAAAGAAAATGAAGGCCAAATTCTCCAGATAAAGCACGCGCATTAAAAGAGGCAATTAAAATGGTTCTCAAAAATCCCTAGAGCACGTAAGTTATACTACTGGTCCCTTAAGACCTTATACCTGTTACCGCAAGTCCTCAAATTATAAATGCCTTGATATGGCCCTCCATCTGTCAAAAAAATTGATGGTGCTCAACGAAGACAGGTGAGTTATTTTTTGGATCTTAATTTACGAGTATACGGTTCAGACTTTAGTGTTAATTTAGTTAACAAAAATCAGTTTAAGTATTCAAAAATAGCTCTGCTTGGATTTTAATGCACCTCCCTGGACCTGTCATGTTTCTTACTTTAAATAGCATACGAAAACTAATATTTGACAGAAAATATCATTAAAATCAACTGTGTCAAACGATTTAAAAGTTTTAAGGCTTTTATACGCTTTATTGACCCAACTAATAGGCTAGCAACTCAGTGATTGAATCTTAGTTTCAACACGAGACTATTTTGGATACATATTTGCAGTAGATCAACGAATCTCTTGCGACTTTCTGTATTTATAATAAAAAAGAATATGAAAATTTATAAATAAAAGAAATTGACTTTTTAAGTAATAATCGGAAATGAGGTCCCGCTATTTTTAAGTACGCCTAATGAGCAAAGTCGACGACAGTCGTTCGACAAGTTTACGCCCAAAGCTATAAATAAAGAAAGAAAAGGTACTTACGTTGCAGACAATCGGCATTTAGTAGATCCTTACATTTTTCATGGCATTTAACTCCGCATTCCGTACACCTGACACCCTGCCGTGCAATTCCCCACAGCAACCCTTCACATTCATAGCAGTATGTCGGAGAAGTAGCAGTCCATAATACAAAATTGTGCGGCGTAGTACTGCTAATTGGGTAAATGAGCGCTTGTAGGGTCTTTTTGTACACGTGCATTTTCTGTAGGCGAAGAAAACAATTCTTTAGATTAAAGTAGGCATTCTGTAGGAAATAAAATTTAGCAATCCTCTTTGTCGAGGCGCAAAGATTTATGTCCTCTCTCAGTAATTGCTTATGCGATTTTAATAACCCAATTTCACTAGCGTCTGTATTAAAAGCATTAGCGACTTTAATAGGTCTAGTGTTCGCTAGCAAAATTGTTTAGAACCCCTTTAAGATCAGTCTGAAACAGTAGGTATTTGCAAGCGTCCCTTATAATTTATCAAGAAGCGGAATTAATCTACTTTCCAGCATTGTGACGGTCTACTGTAATTTAATTTTGTACGGGGACGGAATTCATCGTGCATGTATCAAGGCTTTAAAGTACAGTTTTGCCGAGTTGCGAATTTGTTGCCAATTTTACTACTAACTCCCGGATATCCGACAGAGTGTAGACGAATGAAGAGTAAAACATAGCATTCCCATACAAGTTGATGACGTTACTTGTGTTGGTGCAGTGTAGCGTTAAAAAATTTTGTCGTGCAACAGACCATATCCAATTTGTTCCCTAAAAACAATATAGGTCTGTCTGTATCATACAGCACTTGAAGCATGCACGTATGGTTAAATTATTGTTGTCTTTTTGTAAATAAAAGTAATACCTTTGTATAAAAACAATACACAACGTATACATACCAGCTCTTCGTCATTAAGTGTAGCTCTCGGCACAGCAGACGTCAATCCGGCATTCCTTTTGGTTGCAGCCATAGTCTGCACATAAAGGAAAGCGTTAATTATATTACAATACAAGAACACACCCTTTGCTGTAATCATCGCCTTATAATTTCAGCCAATCACTATAATTTATTCAAGTCAATATAACTATGGTATTAAAAAAGAGGCATTCATTTTAAGAAGTCGATCCTCTTATCCTAATGAATAAATGTAACAAGCTCATAAAAATTTTACGTGTCACTTTTAAGGCTACTCTCAAAAATTCAAACTAACCTATTCTGTTACTCTACCTACTAGCAATATGCATATAAAATTTCGATCTCACGTTCCAATAAGCTAAAAGTAGACCAAAAGACAAAAAAGCGTTTGACATGCTAATTGGCGAAATAAAATTTTTTACGGTAGGTCCTACATTGTACAATTTAATGTAACAAGCGTCGAAGCAAAGCTACATAAAACATTGCAATAGTGTTCATGCTGCAGAAGATAATGTGGATTAAACTATCGTAGGAAGTAGTCAATACCTTGAGCACCTGAAGAGTGAATCGGCGTAGGGCAAACCAACAACAGAAAACAGGTAACACAAACACATTAGTATTTTTTTCTTGTAGTTTACGACATTTACAATAAAGTATGGATTAAGTTAGAAACAGTTAACAACGAGGGAAAGGAATTAAGGTTGTCGGTCGGTACACATAATGCACAAGTATACGGTGACTGTAATTAGTACTTGCTCCATCTCTTGCTAAATTTCAGTTGACAAACAATTATAAAAATCTCATCTAAAATAAGCAATGATCTTAAAGTAGATGAAACCGTTCCTAAAAAGTTGGAGGTAACATTTTACGGTACACTTCCGGCCACGTTTCATCGGCATTGTTTTCAGAGGTAATAAAACGTACCGAGTTTTATTCCCCCAATGAAATAAAGTGAAATAAAAATATATCAAGTTGCAGTCGATATTTCATTCTTATATAAAAGAGAACATCGAAGAAAATACATTAAATACCGAACGGTACAAATTTACTTTTCTAAATCACGTACTTGTCGGATTTTCTTTTCATCGTAGGAAATAAACATTTATTCTCGCACCTTATTTCATGCAAATAATGACAGCTGTGCGGAAAATGGATTTTGAAAGGTGGATAAACGTTGATACAGCCGTTATTTAAGCATCACTCTCAAATTGATAAACGTGAAAAACCGACACACAAAAGTGGATCATTTATTTTCTCTCGTACTTTTTTTTACTTTCGGTTTCAGTTTCCACTTGATAATTATTTTCACCAAGAACGAGCTTTCATTCCAAAATAATTTTATAATAAACGCAATTTTTCCGTAATTCTTCATAGAATTGAACTTTTTCTAGAGAATATTAATTATCAATTAAAAATATTCCACATAACACTCCTAGGAGATCATACTTCAAGGTCTTTTTTTGTGTTTTTGGTATTAGTTTTAAATTGGTTCTCTAGAATCCAATGAAAAACCTACAAGAAATGTAGAATCATTTCAAAAAATATAATCTCTCACAAATCTTTCCAGAATTGGTAAAATTTTTCCAAAAAATTACCCCACACATTTTAGAGGGACTTCTAAAAAAGGGACCAATGAAGGATTTAGGAACTCTAATGCATTACATAAGAAGAATTTCAAAAATCAGTTTTTCGGATCCCTGTACATCTACTAAAGAATCTGTGAAGAACGTTTGAACCAAAACTATCTGAGGAATCTCCAATGGATGTAGATATGAAACTTCTATAGGGAAATGTGCTATTGAGATTCAAACATTTTTAATTCCTGGATAATTTTTAGATTTTTTTTGGTGTGATTCTTAACTGAAAATGGTATTTAGAGATTCATTTGTGACAAAATAGCGAGACTAGTTAAAAGAGTAGCAATATGAGTAAAACATTGATTCTCAAAACATTTTTTTACACAGAGATTCTTGGAAAAATAAATAAACAGGACAGATTTTTCACGGACTATTTAAATATCTTTTAGATTGTTAAAGGCTCTTCACAATCCCCACAGTGTTGGGCCTTGTCGTGGGTGTAGGGTTATAGATACAACGGCTAATCAGGCGGATATGGTACAAAATCACCTGGTCAAGGTTCTTGACCAGCATCTGTTCAAGGTTCTTGACCAGCATCTGTTCGCCCTAAAAGGCGCTACACTAGCACCCACGTTCAGGGGTTGGAAGTGCTCTGGCGAATGTCGTGCGAGAACAACTATTCCCTTGACTGGTTGAAGGAAGTGGTTGAGAACCTCCCACCAACTTCTGTCGAACCTTGTAGGGCTTGTTATATCGCCCTATAACCCCATAACCTTATGGTGCAGGGCGCACGAAAAGCAGAAAACTCTGGTGGACAAACTGTTGAATAAGGCAAAGAAGAGCAAAGCTAAAGCCGATTGGGAGGCCTATAAAATAATCCTAAGACTATATAATAAGGATACTGGGAGGCGTTAGAGAGAGTTTTTGCAGTTCTATAGAATCTACCTCCTCTGCAGGATTTTTAGACGTTCTCGGGTTACAATTTTGAGTTGTTTAAATATTCTAAAAACGTTCTTCAGAGAAGCTGCTCTCTGTAGCTCTTTCAGAGGCTATTTAGCTATATTCATGAAAGTTAAAAGCCCAGAAATTCTTACTAAATTATTACAAACTTTTGCAGGTATTCTTCAAGATACATTCAGGTTCCTACGGGATTAATCAGAAATCCTCTTCTCGAGACTCTTAGAGGTACTTTAAAAATTTAAGATAATCCTTGGTAGACATTTTGAAATTCAAGCGCAATCCTTTGGGGTTACCTGTAGATTCAGTAGAGATTGTGTTTCTCCCGAATTTCAAAATAAAGGATTGCAAACACTGCATAAGAGCCTCTAGGAGGCTTCGGGAGGATTTCTGAAGGATCTTGGTATAAAGTATTAGTGAAGAATTTATAAAGAAATTCCTAAAGATTTCGATAGGATTCCTGAAGATCCACCTAAGAATCTGCGAGGAAAAAAAGAAACGTTTGAGGAATATATGAGAAAGAAAGAATTTTGAGAAATCCATTACAATGTTTTATAGTCTCATAATAAGCATCTTAAGAAACCTTAAAAAAATCTTAGTATATCGAGAGAATCTTTAGTGATCTCAAAATATTATTACTTGAATATCTTCTGCAAAATCTGAAAATATCAATAAATAATTTGGGCATTTGTTGGGATTTCTGACGAATTTCTGAAAATCTGAATTGGAAAATGTTTTTAAAAATCACCAAGAAGAACTTTCTAAAAATTCTTCTGGTGCCTTTTAAAACAACAAACATTTTCCAATTATGATGTTCAGAAATGCTTTGAAATAAAAAATTTGGGAACAACCTTTGGGTATTGTGAATTTCTGTACCGAAAAAGAATCTCTGAAAAATCCCCGAAAAACCTTTGGTGAGGGTTCATGTGAAGATAAATTAGCCAAAGAAAAAAGCAGCAATACTTCCTTTTGTTAAAAATAGTTGCCGTTTCGTCTGTTAAGACTTTTTCAAAAGGTTGACATATGTGTTAAAATAATGTTGTATTTATGTGACGGAGATCTGCAAAGCATAAGTTATTAGGGGAAATGGTGAAGTCAAGGAGAGTGCTTTTTTTTACTTACGAAATATTGTTAAAAATTAAAGATTGTATAATTTATTGATGTAAATAAGTTGAAAACGTCCATACTTTCTTCTTTAATTTATGTTGAGTCAAAAGAGGAGTAGGAATATTGAAGATGGGCATTGTGGTTTCTTTTCTAAGCGAGGTTAGAAGTTTGTTAAATCTGTCAAAAAATGCAATGTTCAAAAGTTCTACGAAGTGTTATCATTGGATCTAAAAATGTTTATAAGATATAATTTGTGTGCTATATAAAGGGAAGAAAGTTAAAAATGTTTAAGTGAATGAAAAGTTAAAAAAACTATTTTTTAGCAGTATTTGTAAGGATATTGTTGTAAGTTATGTTAAGATTTTCAATGTCGGTTTTGAAATTTATTGAATTAGAATTTTTTTAAATATATCATTTCTGGAATTTTTATTAAGTTTGGTTCAGTTTTTAAAATTTTAGGGTTTTTTAGATGACTGTTTTTTGTTGAGAGATTCTTTTGTTTAGGTGTTGTTTGGTTTGGCCATTTGACATTTGAGATTGTGGCGTTTTATCTTTTAATTTACTGAATAATGTTTTACCTACATTGTTTATATTACAGAAAGCTGTATTGAGATTAAATTCTTTAAGATCTTTTTTTGATTTTTGTTGATAATTTAGGGATAGGTATATATAATATATATAATATGTTAAATATATATAATAATAATAATATAATTATATATATATATATTATATGCTTTAATGGCGGAATAATAAGGTCCTTTCTCAAATGATGCAGTTCTATGTAGAGGAATTCTCAAATCTTTGTTGGTACGAGTCAGCATTGCGTCATATGTTTCAGCGTTAGTAGTAAACAAAGAGGGATATATGGTAATTTAATATATGTGTTAGATTCATTGTTGGTTATTATAGTAAAATCATTGCTGAAAATTTTGCCTAAGCATAATAGGCTGGAGGTTTATAATTTGGTCAGCTTTTTTGTTGGTTATATGTTTTATTTTGTATTGTTTTATTTTTGAATTTATGTAATTGATAGGGTAATTATTTTTGATGAGGATTTCAGTAATTTTGTTAAAGTTGAATTTATGAGACTTGGAACTGTAAAATAGCTCTGTTAACTAGACTGTTTATAACACTGGTTTTGTATTTGTTAGTTGTTATGGAGTTATAATTTAAATATCTGTCAGTTTTTACAGTTTTTATAAACCAGTTTCTTGAACAGTTTTTGTTATTGATGTCTTTCATTATGGTTAGATCTAAGAAATTTAGTAAGTTGTTATTTTCTTTTTCTAGGGTGAACTTTAGTTTTGGGTGGAAATTGTTAAAAATTTCAGTTATTTTGTTATTGTCGGCACAAATAATAATGTCATCAACATATCTTTTATAGAAGCTAATGTATTTTTGTTTTTAAGTAGTTCACTTTCCATATCAAAAAGGACAAGTTCAGTAATTGATCAGGAAATTGGAGAGCCCATAAAGACTCTCAAAACTTGTGAAAATACATTGCCATTAAAGGAAAAGTATGTTGATCCTAAAACGAAGGTTAAGGTAGTCATAAAATCATTTTTATTAATGAAAGTACATTTTTTAATTTATTTCCCAATTTTTATTGATTGAACTGATGGCGAGTTCAGTAGGAATGTTTGTATAAAGGGAGACAATATCAAGGGAAAAAAATTTGTCCTTCATGATATGTTGCGGTGTTAATAAAATTTTTAAAATTCCATGAATCTTTAATACTATATTTATTTTGTTTTCTTATATTTGTTAAGATTTTCAAAAGAGATTTAGAGAGGTTATGTTGTATGTGGAAAGGTGTTTATATTCTATTTTTGAAATGTGTAAATATTACTATTTTTAAGGTAAGCTATTATGTCGTGGTTTTTTGTTTTAAATACATAGTTCAAATTGCGG